TCTTTTCTTTTTCCCCCTAACTGCAGTGCCTTAACAGCAGACAAACAGCTGTTCTTCATTTCCTACATGACAGTTTACCACAAATGCATCAGATTAAAACAACCTCTTTATTATTTCCCTGTTCTGTAGGTCAGAAGACCAGGCAGGCTCAGCTGAGATCTCTGCCTAGGTTCTTCCAAGGCCAGAGTCAAAGTATTGTATGGGCTGGGCACTTATTTGGAGGCTCTGGGGAGGAATCTGCTTACAGGCTCATTGAGGTTGTTAGCAGAACACAGTTCTTTGTGGTCAATCAGTCCAGGCATGCTACTTCATCATATTCAAAGTCTTGGGGAACAGTTAGGAGTCTTTGGGGGTCATTTTAGAATCTGCTCAACCACAGACCTAGTTGCAAATGATGTTAAGTCTGTGCCAATTACTGAGAGGGACTTAATTGAGAATCCAGTGGCTTGTGTCTCCACCAGTGGTCTGCCTAACCATTGCCAATTTCACTCCCCGAGTCTGGAGATTTGGGGGAGAGAGGTGAAGAAGAGTGGAATGCCCACGCCCAAGATATTAAGGTTTTGGTTTTGGTGCAAAGGATGGAGTGACAGAGACACCTGAATGAGTGTAAGAAATCTTTGCAGCTGTCCCCCTGCAATGTCTTTTGGGTTTCTGGGCATGAGAGGAGGGGGCTGTTTGCAATTTTACTGGTTAATAATGATGTCCCACTTCCAGGCATCTTCTGGAGAAATACAGCTCCCAGCTAATGTCAGGCTCAAGTACTGCCTTGGCCCAGGATGGCTAGAGAGTTGAAGAAAAGTGCAGCCTTGGATGCCCAATCTGCAGAGGACCAGATGGGGATTCTGGTCATAAAGGTGGAGGAGGAAGAGGCCTCTGTCTTTGCGGAGGAGGCCAGTATGAGGGGCAGCCCTACTCAGGGTTTGGAGCACTTCCGCCAGCGCTTCCGGGGCTTCAGTTACCTGGAGGTCAAGGGGCCCCGCCAGGTGCTGAGCCGCCTCCGGGAGCTCTGCCGACTGTGGCTGCAGCCCAAGATGCACAGCAAGAAGCAGATCCTGGAGCTGCTGGTGCTGGAGCATTTCCTGACCATCCTGCCCCGGGAGCTGCAGAGCTGGGTGCGGGAGCCGCATCCAGAGAGTGGGGAGGAGGCGGTGGTGCTCTTGGAGTGTTTGGAGAGGCAGCTGGCTGAGCCCATGCCGCAGGTAGAGAAAACAAATTTAGTACCTGCTTCTTCCAGAAATCTCAGAATCCGAGTGAGAGACATTTCTTTAAAACTCAGAATTTCTCAGTCTCTCTTTGTTCCATGAACAACTTTGGCAGTAGTGTCAAGTCCCTGGACCCCTTTTCATAATAGCATTTTAAAATACATAAAGGAAAATACAAAGAATTCCAAAATAATTCAATTACATGAATATATAGCAAAACATAAAACAAATTTGTGATAAAATTATATATGTGCTTTTTTATTAATGCACTAAATAAAAAACGTAGGGACTGGCAGTTTTGGAAGTTTAATAACTGTAATGACTGGCGATTTTGAAGTTATTATAAGCATAAATAACTTTGACAATATTCACCTGGTTGTAATGCAATATGAAAACATCTGCCAATTTCTGTTAGTGACAAAATCCTAGGTATGCTTATGCCACATTGGTTTGTTAATTACATTTGTGAGGGAAGGAAATGCTACATTTCTGTAGAGGCTGGTAAAAATAAAAGCAGTTTTCCTATTCAAGTTTATGGACCATTTGGGAGGGAGTCCACGGGCCACAGGTTGAAAATCTCTGATAGAAAATAGTTCGACTTTTTTACCTGCATCTTCTTGCCTGTTTTGTGAGATTTTTTCCTCCTTACATTATCTTGTGCCCTTGTGAATGTTCCTTCAGAGGACTGTGGCCAGAATCTTCTAACCAGTGACCAAGAGACCAAAGTTCTTGACTACAAGTATCTGTTGCCTTTGAACTCTGTAACAGTGAAAAGTCAGTTCAAGTCTCTTAGCTTCAGGCTCATCATCCTTTATAGAGAATATGGGAAATTCTCAGCAGCATATGAGAAAGCACCTTGAAAACTACAATGTAAGTATAAATGTCTGGACAGAAGCCTGCATTTAATGAAGACACCATATACAGGGTCCTGTGTTAGGAAGTTTCACATACTGTGATCTTATTTACTGGTTCCCAAACCTTGTAACCTAGAAGTTATTTTCTTCATTTTTCAGAAAGAAAAGATATTAGTATTCTGAAAACTTAGTACCAATTCCCAGAGTTTTCTTAAAAGCACAAATTATATTATGAGGGAGCACAGTAATGCTTACAAGGAGAGGCTCTGGGGCCATTCTGCCTGAGCACCCATCCCAGCACTGACACTTATGAGCTGGGTTGCCTTGGGCAAGTCCTTCAGCTCTCTGTCCCTTTGTTTCCGCATTAGCAAAATGGGGATTATAATAGTACCAACCTCAAGGCAGTTGTTGTCTATGTTAAGTGAGGTAATATTTTTAGGGCTCCTGAAAACGGTTCCAAGTGCATAGAAAGTGCTATAGGAAGTGTTTGATGAATAAGTGAAAATGAATGAGTAACTAGGTGCCAGGTGGTGACCAGGGGCAAGAACTGCTCTGTTGCATAATGGCACAGTTGACACCATCCTGGAGATCACAAAGTAGCCACTTCCAGTTGATGAAGGCTCTTCTCAAGCATGAATCTCTGGAATCCCAGCCCTCACCAGACAGAGGTGAGGATTATCTTCAGGGCAACTGGAATTCTACACACTTCATCCAGTTTCACTTAAGCGTCACCTGACAGATCCACTGACAGTTACTTTATGTGCCCATCACTGATTGACTACTTTGAAACTGACCCTGAAAGGGAAATTTCAAACAATGGTAGGAAGCTTTCCCAACAGAGACTTGGACATAACAACTAAGATAAATAAAATTTTGTTTGGAAAGTATTGGTTCTCCATTCATGTAACACATAATTATGGAGATAGCCAGTGTTGATGATGCAGGGGGTAGAGCTTTCAGTGAGATGGAGTCCTTGCGGCGATGCAGCTTACATTCTGGTGGGGAAGCAGTGAACAAACATACAAATAACACAATTTCAGATAGTGGCAATTGCCAAGAAGAAGATGAAGAGAATCTATAAAGTCAGAATATCCCAGATTATAGGTCTGCTCAAACCTGAAAAGTATAAATCTTCTAAACCATACATCTGTTATTAAGAAAGCATGATTCACACCACACAACTTGCTTGTATGTCCGAGGTGTTTTCTCAAGTGCCCTGAAATATGTGTAGGGACACCCTGGGACATACCAGCCAACATGCAATCTTTATTTCTCAAAAGAGATTCTAGCCTCAACTGTTTTTGACCCTTTTAAAGTTTGCCTTCTGTGGGGAAACCTGAAGCTCTTTTCACCTCTCTCTCTCTTGAATCTGAGTAAGTTCTATGTAACCAGATGCCCACTTCTGCTTTTTTGGGCAGCCTTGGCTGACTTCGTTTAGTTTTTCAAAACCAAAGCAGAAACCCCCTAACAAGTACTAACCACATTTTAAACAAAATCTTATTTTTCTCCTGCTCCTTGGCAAAACTCAAAGGATCCTCAAATGAAAACCTTGGTTTATGTTGCTTTCATTAGACTGTTCCTACCAGAGGTCCTTCCCTTTCTGTGTAGTATTTGTGTATCTACAAAGTACCTTGGATTTCTTTGGGCTCCAGGATTGGAAAGGGCATGGATCAGGCATTTTGGAAAGGAGCATACTATATAAATTTCTTGGCTGGAATTTATTAACCCAGTTTATGAACTTGGATTTTGCAGGAGAGGGAGGCTAAAGCCAGGCTAGATCTCATTCAGAGCTTTCCTTCTTAGTTCTCCAGGTTCCTGTGCTTACCCAGGGAGGGTGCTGCAGAGGAGGCTCACCCCAGAGGCCCAGGTGAGCTGCAGCTCCTCTCCCTTCCCAGGCTCCCAGCACTCTTTCCTTCTGTTGGGCTTCCTATAGATCTCTTTATCCCCACTCTTCCTACACCCTCATCCTAGATCCACACGGAGTTTGGGTTTTCTCATCTATCCCAAAGTTGTTGATCATAGGCTGCCTTTATTTTGGTGCCAATCCCAAAGTTGTTGATCATAGGCTGCCTTTATTTTGGTGCCAACTTAAGAGGATTTTCCTGTTTTACTCCTAGTTGGGGTGGGGGTGGGGAAGCTGTCTGTGATTCCCTGATTTTCCTTATCTCATCTGTTTGGTCAGCTCCCTTAACAATGGGATTTTTGTCTTCAATAAGGGCAATTTAGCAACTACAAACTGAAGATTCCATTGTGATGGTGATTGAGTTTTGTTTTTTATAGCATCACAAACTGCTGTTAGTGAGGGATAAGACCTCTGCCCTCTAGGAACTTAAACTTGAAGGAATAGATCAGATGTGTTCTCTGAGTCTAAGGTTAATATTACAATCTGAACAATCTTCACTCAACAAGGATTTTAATTTCTTACCAGACTTTCACATCCAACTTGAAGATCTCAGTGTTTGAGGCTCTGTAGTATCTATGTTTTCTGTGGTTTTTCTCACCTAGATTTAGATATCATTGTATTAAAAAAATCATTAAGATAAGTGAGCCTACCTCTACTTTGCCAAAGCACCCCACAGTATTTTGAAAGGTGTGTGTATGGTTCCACTCACTTCACTGCACTAGCCCTTGTTTTCTAAATTTTTTCACTTCTGGACTATTTAGATACTTATATGAAAGTGCTTATCCTAATATGTATAATATTTCTCTCCTTTAGTGGTTATATTTTGGAAAAAAAATGTTATTAGAGGTAGGTGTAAATGTGCCACATTGCTCTTTCTTAAGAGCCCCTTTAAAGGGGATGTTCATTCTTTGCAGGTGCCCAGATTTTGAAGTGATTTTGAGTAAGGGGGACTAGGTGGGATTACTTATTGTTCCAGGGGTTGATGAAAGTGGAAGATGTGGCCCTGGCCCTCACTTCTGGATGGACACAGCTGGATTCATCTCGGGTGAACTTCTGCAGAGATGAAAGGCAGGACCTCCATGGCAGCCTGATCTCCCTGGGTAAGACTGATGGGCCCTGACTTCTCATTGGGTTTCTTGGCTTCCCTTGTGTATTAGAACTTACTGGGCTGGTAGAAGCTGCTTGAATAATGTTTAGATTCAGAAACACCATTCCTGAACCCCAACCACTAACCAGCTGTGTGGCTAGTTCCGTCACCCTTCTGACCTTGGCTTTTCTCTGCCCTGCCAGTCTTCTAGTTGGGCTAAGTGGGATGAAGCAGATATAGCACTCAATACCAGCCTGGCTCATAACAGACACTCCGGACATGTTGATTCCCTTCCTGGTATAGGCCTGCCCAAGGGGGAGAGCTGAGGGGTCTCCAGGAAATGGGCCATGGGACCAGAGAGTGTGAGAGCCAGAAGTGACCTAGGGATTGAGGACAGAGCCTGACCTTCAGAGGAGGGTGCAGAGGCACACAGTGTGCCTGACTGACTGAGTTCCCATTGCTCATTGGTGGCCCATTGGGAGCTCCAGCTTAGATCTCCCAGCACTGAACCCAGTCTCATTTGGGGGACCCTGCCTCTGCCTGGGGCAGAGTCAAACATGACTGCACTTTCCATTGGTCAGTGACTAATTCCTGAGTCCCCACTTTCCCTGTTCCTTACAGAACATTTCAGAAATCCTTTCACTTGCCTTGTTTACTGTCGACTTTGTCGACTTTGGCTCAGCTCTTTTAGTGTCTATACCTAGGGGCATGACCCTGCCTTCCTATACTTAGAACCTAGAGCCTCTGCCTGTAAGCCCAGCACAGTCCTCACCTCCTGTGCTCCATTCTGTCTGTACCCTCCTTCCAATGGCCCTGTTTCCATTCCCAGGTCTCCCTCGCCAGCACCCCTGTTCTCCCCCTTTATTCCCATCTTTTTTCTTGCACCTAAATCATCTGTAGCTTATACAGGCAGACCCTATACCCTTGCCTCCCTGGGACTCATCACAGAGCTTTCCCCCATGGCAGGCATGATTGACATGTGCTGTCCACTTGTTATTTCAGGTGGTGAAATACAGACCGAGATCAGGGAGTTACATCCAGGTGAGGAACATCCAGTACGAGAGTCTGGGGAAATACTGTGCCACTTGAGTGAAGACATTGCCCAGATTCCTACACGTGCAGAAGCTGGTGAACAGGAGGGTGGGTTACAAAGAAAGCGGAAAAATGACACTGGGAGGAGATGACACATTTGCCATGAATGTGGAAAGAGTTTTGCTCAGAGTTCAGGCCTTAGTAGACACCAGAGAGTCCACACAGGTGAGAAACCATATGAGTGTGAAGAATGTGGGAAGGCCTTCATTCACAGCTCAGACCTGATCAAACACCAGAGGACTCACACTGGGGAGAAGCCCTATGAGTATGACAACTGTGGGAAGACCTTTAGCCAGAGCTGCAGCCTCCTTGAACATCACAAAATCCACACTGGGGAGAAGCCATACCACTGCAACATGTGTGGGAAAGCTTTTAGGTGGAGTTCACACCTCCTGAGACATCAGAGGATCCATGGTGATAAAAATGTTCAGAATCCTGAACCTGGAGAGACCTGGGAGAGTCAGGGTAGGATGGAAGGCCAGTGGGAAAATGCTGAGGCTCCCTTATAAATGCAATGAGTGTGAGAGAAGTTTCACTCAGAATACAGGCCTTATAGAACATCAAAAAATCCACACTGGTGAGAAACCCTTCCAATGTGATGCATGTGGAAAAGGCTTCACCCGAACTTCATACCTTGTTCAACATCAGAGAAACCATGTTGGGGAAAAAATTCTGTCACAGTGACCCAAGTCGGACATGCCAGAGTTGCTGCTCATTCCTCATTGAACTGAAGCCACCCTGAAGCCTGTCCTGACTGCTTAAACTGTGGGCTGGGGCTTCATTTACAACTACTAGTCATCAGGAGTTTGTTAGAAGATACAGAGTCTGAGATGAATTATCTTCTGCATTCTAGAAGGTGATGGGCAGAAAACTTGTTTGATAGGAGAACTACGAGTGTTGTCTGTAAGAGACTGAACCTGAAATGGTTTGTTCTCACCTATTGGATTTAAATGGGTTCCAGACAGGCTCATCACCCTCAGCCAGGACTTGATGACGTCTCCTGGGCAGATGGCTGTGATTTGGGGGCTCCTTCTATGACCAGTAATTTTGCCTATGGAAGAAAATCCTCTATTGTGAAGTCTTGTACTTCCCACTGTGCCTTGTACACAGGTGCTAATAAGCATTTATTAAATACACCAGTGAGATGACCTTCATAGCTCTGAGAACCTGATATCATCTGGATTTCTGAGTAGTTTCTCAGTGTTTGTGTCTATTTCTGAGGTACTTGGTTCTGAGTTATCTGGCGCATTTTTGCCAAGCACCTAGAGTTTGCAGTTGGGAGGCTGGGGGAAGGTGGGCAGGGTGGTGTTATTGTGATAGAACAAATCTAAATTTCTTATCCAGACTAGGAATTCTAATTAAGTATTTTATCATTAAATCTGTGTGAATGCATGCCAACCATGGAATTCCTTTCTTTAGTTAATTTTGCTGCTCTTTACAGAGAAAAGGTTCCTATTCAGGCAGTGTGAAAACTAGTTATTCAATCAGAAAATAATAAATTCTCTGATGCTCATCATCTTGGTTCTCACCTTGTAGCCCTCTTGGGCTTAACCACATGCTCTCTAAAGCAACCTGCCCACAACCCATCCTGCCCAAATATATAGTAGACTGTGTATCAAGACTCACGCCTGCTAGGTTCAGTGACCTTATCCTCCAGGTCAGTGGATTCACACTGAATATTTGAATATTATTTTGGTGTCAAAACTCAATTATTAATATGTGACGATCTTGGTCTTCTTTCATATTAATTTCTAAGCCACCTCTCTGGTACCATCTCCTCAATTATCCATGATGAGAATTTTAGCCATCAAGTTAACTCCTCAGGGTAATTACCTTTCCTTAAACACACGTTGTGAACCATCTTTCTTTTTCCTCATGATAGTCAAAATTTCAGTCTTGGGAAAAATTCAAGTGAGAAAACTTTTTCAGTCAACATTATACATGTAGTATTTGTTATGTATATTACAAATGGAATTGCTTCCACAAAAGTATTTCAGGATGACTACTTTCCTGTAAACTTAAAAAAATACATATCACTTCCTGTGCTTTTGTTTCTACATCTACTTACATATCACACTTGGTTTCTGGCACCAGCAATCTCTTACATACTCATAGTTATCAGTTTAGGACCCTGGAATTCAGATATAGTAATGTTTTCTTACAATCAATGGTTTTGCCATCGCGATATATTCTCTCCTGCTTATCCAAAAATCCTTTGATGATCTATCCTTGTCCCCATTTTTATGTGTTTCCAAGCTTTGGTACTTCAAAGTTTTCAGGGATGTAGGGGACACACATTTAATAAATCCTAAAATAAATTATTTATATTACAGTAAAATCCATGTGATTATTTATTTTAAGTAAATTCTTAAGCCAATAAAAATTCACTGTATGATTTCCACTTTTTCTGTACCTACACGTGTTAGTCAATGCTCTCCAGAAAAACATATCCAATAGGCTATAAATATACAGAGATTTATTATAAGGAACCAACTCACATAATTTTGGAGGCTAAGGAGTCACAAGATCTGTAGTTGGCAAGCTGGAGACCCAGGAGAGCAGATGGTGTGGTTCCAGTCCAAGTCCTAAGGCCTAAGATGGAATGTTTTTAAGTCTAGTCCAAAACCCAGCAGGCTTGAGAACCAACAAGAGCCAATGTTTCAGTTGGAGTTTGAAGACAGGAAAAAACTGATATCCCAGTTCAAGGCAGTTAGGCAGAGGAGTTCCCTCTTACTGAAGGGAGAGTCAGCCTTTTTGTTCTATTCAGGCCTTCAAGTGACTGGATGAGGGCCATCCACATTAGGGAGGGTAATTTGCTTTGTGTAGTTTACCAACTGTAAGTTAACCTCCTCCCAAAACACCCTCACAAGGCACACCCAGAATAATATTTGACCAAATACTTGGGCACTCCTTCACTTAGTCAAGCTGACACATAAAACTGACTATTATAATACTGTAGTTTCAGGTATTAACTAAAATATTAAAACCTTTAACCATGTCCCCACTTCTCTTTTGATCTCTAGTTCTTACAATTGACAGTAAGAGCCTAGGACAGAATGTTTGTAGCTTCCCTACCCTGCTTCCTGGTCAGAACAGAGAAGGGCTGATATGAAGCTGAGAAACAAGAGGTAAATGACTAGCTCACTCTTGACCCTCACAATACCTAATAGAGCTCCTGATGAATGAATGACTCTGAAAATTGGCTGTTTCTACTTGCTTTTTCATATTAACAAAACATCCCTACTACTAGAGACCAAAGTGTTCAAATTCCTACTTCCAGGAATAACAATTTTTCTTCCCTATTTCTAAACAAGTTATGTGTTTTCAACCATTCATTCAGCATAACTCATTATTTTAGGTCATGCACTAAGGAATCAAAGATGAACAAGACATTGTCTCTGTCTCTGTCTTCAAAGACATTGTGTCTATCTTTGAAGAACATTCCTAACTTTCCTATCTTTTAACCCAAAATATTCTATGCATGTTTGTCCTTTTCTGAGGCTGGCTGGCAACTCATATGTATGCATATGTGCTATAGAAACCAGGATTTAACAGCAGCTGATCTAAGCCATGTAATCTACTCAGAATATGAGAACATGATAGACTTTATAAGGAGCTACTATAAAGCCATTTGCCACTTCTGTCTTTGTTAACTTGGAGGCTGTCATGAGATAGTTTCCTATGATGAAGAATAAGGCTTTCTCTCTCCCTGTTTAGAGTGTTCACAAGCTACAAATAGTGCAAGCTATTGAACTGTTTAGCTGCAAGGTGACCCCAACTCCTCAGCAGCAGGATGTTCTATCATATGCACTGCTTCCATATGGCTTCTTTTGGCATCATTCTCTGGTACAAGGGACACAGGAAGCTAACACATTTGGCTATTCTTGCTTTTGATGTTTTAAATAAATTTTAAAAACTGCTTTGATCTAAAAAGGGCTTTGTTTCCTGAAGAAATCTGTCAACTTTTCCTTGAGAAGTGCAGTGCTAGATGGGGCACACAATGCCCAAGATGTGGCCATGCAGAACAGAATAGGATATGTGATAACTCCTGGGACATGGTAGCACATGTGCTTGCCTAAGTGGTGGGCAATAGGGGAGAGTAAGGGTCTTCTCACTGTTGTACCTACAGTATACTAGCTAAGCTACAGGATATAAAAAGATTCTCTAGGATCCAATAGCATATGTACTTGCTGGTGAATGTTTGGAAGTTAAGTCACTGAAGGTAGGATTGAATCCAGCTACCCAGTGCCCCCATGTTTATTAAAAGTTTGTCCCTTGAGGCTAAATAACCACTTAAAAATGAGACTCAAAGCAAATCTATGCTTACTGGTGTGAGCTGATGCTTTCTTCTGTACCTCCTGATCCCTTCCTGCCCTATATCTCAACTTCAGTTATTTTAAGGAAACAAGTCTCACCTATGTGCAAGCTACCTCTGCAGGAGAGACTTCCGTATCACCCCTGCATTTCCTGAGCTCACAACCAAGCAAACATGGCTGTTGATGTTGTAATCCTTGAGATGTCTGGGTTAAGATGTTGAGATGAGGAAAGTATTAAACTTTCCTCTGTGCTTCTGCTTAAAAAAATAATGTATCAGTTCAACTGATGGAATTTGAGAAAAACCTGCAATGAAGAGAAAAAAGTTAAAGTAACCTTGTGAATGAGGATGCCTGAAAGATGATATAGGGCATGAATGGTCCAGTGAATGACACAAGTGCCTGACCATTATTGGATTCTCATCAATAGAAATATCTGTTCATGAGTTTTGCCCATAACTAATTGAATTATTTGTTTAACTTTTGAGATTTGATGAGTTCTTTTATATACTAGATACAAGACCTCAGTTAGATACTAGTTTGCAAATATTTCCCCCATCTGTAGCTTGTCTTTAAATCCTCTTAACAGTTGAGTCTTTCACAGAGCAAAAGTTTTAAATTCTGATGACCACCAAGTTATTAATTTTTCCTTTAATCAATCATGCTTTGATGTCAATTCTAAGAATCTTTGCCCAAACTTAGGTCCTTATGAGTTTCTCTTACTCTTTCTTCTAAAAGTTCTATAGTTTTAGGCCTTATGTTTTAGCCCATGACCCATTTTGAGCTGACTTTTGTCAAAGATATGAGACTTAGGCTGCTTTTTGTTTTGTTTTGCCTATGGATGTCAAATTAGACCAGCACTATTTTCTGAAAAGGCTGTCCTTCCTCCACTGAAGTGCTTCTGCATCTTTGTGAAGAATCATCTGGGCATTTTTGTGTAGGTTCCCCAACCTGTTCCACTGAACTGTATGTTTGCAATATCACACTCTTTTGATCACTGTAGGTACATAGTAGGCCTTGACATCAGACATAGTGATTCCTCCCACTTTCTTTTTCAAAAACTATCCCTAGATCTCTTGTTTTCCCAAATAAATTTTAGGAAAAGCTTATCTGTATCTCCAAAAAATTCTTGCTGATATTTTGATAGGATTCATATTAAACCTACAAATCAGTATAGGGAGAATTGCCAGGAGCCATGCTACTCAAGCTGTGTAGCAAAGCTCAGGCTGGAGGAAGACCCCCACAAAGCAGGGGCTTTTGCAGCTGGCGCCCCCTATTATCCACCTTGATTTTGTTATTCTTCATTATACTATTGGCTTTGCTTTTGCTTCCATTTTTGCCAAAGACTAAGCTAACCTTATATAAGCAGCACAGAAAGGAAGAGAACATAAACTTCCCCAAAGCTTTTCAGGACACTGCTCCTGAAGAATAGAACACGCAGGGGCCAGATGGCAATCTTGGCATAGAATACCAAAACCGCAGGTAGCTAGTCAAACATTGACTACCCCATCTCCACCTAAATGGGAATGCCCCCCTTGTTTGCAATGCTAGTGAAATTAGTGATGAAGAGTTTTATAGGAAAATTAGAGAAATAGAGTTACAGGAGAATACTGAATGGAATAATCCTGTATGACACTTTATCAATCTTCTCATGTTTTCTTCCATCTGCTACTTCTATAGCTTTTCTTCTTCCTTCCTAATTACAGCCCTTTACTAGAGTTTGTGCCTCATATGTGAAATTACCAAGTATCATAATTCTTCCAAGTGGCAAAGATACCTCAAGACAAGTGCTGGGCCTGGAAGCCATGGGACATAAATCTGCAAAGAAGTGAAAAACTAACCTTTTCAAAGAACATTACTTCTCTCTCACTTACCAGCTTTACATCTCCCTGTATGGCCCCGGAAGATGGCTGGTTAGCCAGAGACGGGTAAGATTCCTCAAGGGAGGAACAACCTAAGACAGGCATAGTTGCAGGGGGTCCATCAGGTGAGAAAATGGGGGCCAACAGAGGTGAGGATTAGAATCTCACCCCCCCAATTTTGAGAGAAATCTTCTACACCCATGGATGTTTTGTTGCCCTTG